AGGACAGAAGCTATCCTGTTCATGTTTCTATTCTCTTAACATAAAGTAAGTAGGGTTTGCTGTCATTGTATCAGTGAGTGTTATATGTAATGATGCTCCCTGAGTCCTTAAGAATTGTCTAAGTTATGTTTGATAGGAAAGATTTAGCAAAGTAGGGGGTGTATGCCCATTTTAGTGCTTATTGGTATAAGCTTCACCTTGTTGGATAGTTTAGTTCCCTGGGACCAAAGAGAGACTTTTTAAAGAAAGAGTTAGGTACAGCTTTCTTATTACTCATTGTTTGTATGGAGATATCCAGACAGTGGTTTGCTGATTTTGCTAATTGTTTCTGAACCAGAAAGATACTATATACTATTTGTTTCCACTTCCCTAAGAACACAATTTTTTTGCCCAAGAACATAAATTTTTAACAAATGAAGTTGATGCCAGTATCCTCTCCTCTCCGCCCCCCTGAACCCCACCCCCGCAATTTAAAAGGAGGTTGTAATTTATTAAGGTTACCAGTTAAGTTACTAACTTATATTTGTGTAACATTTTAAAGGTGATTATATTCGGTTATATACATTCACAAATTATCAGTGTGATTATTTTCCTACCAATTTTTGGTTTTATTTTTGCATTTTTTGTTATTGATGTTTTCTTTTGACCTAAAGAATATTTTATCTTTAATCTTCACACATTTTAATTGTACATCTATAGTTTTGTGACTTGGTCTCCCCCCTCCCTTTTTTTTTTTTTTAGATTTTATTTATTTATTTGACAGCGAGAGAGGGAACACAAGCAGGGGGAGTGGGGGAGGGAAAATCAGGCTTCCCGCTGAGCAGGGAGCCCAATGCAGGGCTCGATCCCAGGGCCCTGGGATCATGACCTGAGTCGAAGGCAGACGCTCAACAACTGAGCTACCCAGGCACCCCTTTTTTCCCCTTTTAACCTTGACTTCTTTCTTGTTATTTCTTTGGAGCAAAACCTTAAGCACTAGGCTGTGTGGCCTTGAGGTATAGTTTTAATAAAAGCTTTGCTAAGTAATCATTTGGTATAAAATCCCAACCAAATCCATTAATAGAAAAAAGAAAGCAATATCTTTTCAAGGTTAACTTTCTTTGTGGTCGCTCCCACGAATAACACATACTCATTGCATTCATCTAATTATTATTGCCTGCCTGTTATAATTTAAGGTCCATTTTTCTGGTAAAGACAACCAAAAAAATCCTTAAATTTAAGAGCAGATTATGAAGGCATTTATTCATTAAAGATAAATTCCTATATAGTGGAGTTTTGCTTATATAAAATTGTTGTCAGTACTCCAGGAAAATGTCCAGGAATACCCTCTTAGTTGGATAGTCGGTTGTGTATTAATTAAAATGGCAGTGGGGTACCCGGTGGCTCAGTCGTTAAGTGTCTGCCTTCGGCTCAGGTCATGATCTCAGGGTCCTGGGATCGACCCTGCATCAGGCTCCCTGCTCAGTGAGGAGCCTGCTTCTCTCTCTGCCTTTCTCCTGGCTTGTGCTCTCTTTCAAATAAATAATAAAAATCTTTAAAAAAAAATAAAATAATAAAATGGCAATAGCATGGCCGCCTTCTTTTCTCCTTTTTATTTAAAATTTTGACATTACTAAATACTCTCACAACCTAAATAAATACATGGGAGTTTTTAAAGAGATAAACATGGGGCACCTGAGTGGCTCAGTTGGTTAAGCATCTGCCTTTGGCTCAGGTCATGACCCCAGGGTCCTGGGATCGAGTCCAGCACTAGGCTCCCTTCTCAGTGAGGAGTTTGCATCTCCCTTTTCCCCATCCCTGCTTGTGCTCTCTCTTTCTCTCTCTGTGTCAAATAAATAAATAAAATCCTTTAAAAAAAAAAATAAAGAGGTAAACATTATATTCTTTAAAGCACTTTTATTTTGTGAGGTTTAAAATTAATTTAGTAACTTCATTTGGAAACTGAATAAGCCCTTGAAATCTGTTGGACATGTAGCTGCTCATTCCCTGGAAAACTAGTCATTCAGGATATCACCAGTCACTCTGTACAGTCTCCATTACCTCTCCTCTACTCTGCTAACCAGTAAGTGACACTACTTGTGAAGTTGTTATCCATTTGGAAATTCACAACTGTAACGGTGGTGGGAAATAGTGAAATAATGAAAAGTAACAAGTACTGACTTAAATAATTTTACCTTTCTGAAAGTTTCCTGAATTTTCTATGAGGTAGACAACCAAATTTAAACCTCCACCTTCCTGGGAAAGATGATAGTCACACTGAAATCCCTGTGTTGAGTACAAGGAGAGGGACAGGGACTGACAAGAGGGTTCTGAAGGCCGCCCCCTGTTCACTGAGAAGCTGTCGTGTTCACGTCAGGGAAGCCTGTGCCTCCTCCATCCATCTCTTAGCTCACTGGCCTTGTGCACGTTATTTATTTTGGCCTCAAGGTAGTAAGGGTCTGGGGCGCCTGGGTGGCTCAGTGGGTTAAGCCTCTGCCTTCGGCTCAGGTCATGGTCTCAGGGTCCTGGGATCGAGCCCCACATTGGGCTCTCTGCTCAGCGGGGTGCCTGCTCCCCCTCTCTCTCTGCCTGCCTCTTTGCCTACTTGTGATCTCTGTCTGTCAAATAAATAAATAAAATCTTTAAAAAAAAAAAAAAGAAGAAGAAGATAGTAAGAGTCTCCTGTATTATTTGTTTTCAAGCTCTGCCCAGGGAGCTCTCGGGGTTCTTGGCACCTCCTCCAGAGTCCCACCGTGGATGGAATGCGAGACCCAGTGGGAGCACTTCTCTCTGTGACTGTCTCTCAGACCGTCTTCCCCTTAGGGTTGTGTCACTTCTAAGATCCCTCCTAACTGTGGAAAAGCTCATTATCTGCTTGCAGTCTCTTCTTCATTTCTTTCTTGGGAGAAGCTTTAGTCAGTCGGATTGAAAGCTAACCCTCTGGATACAGTTGGGAGGGAAAAGTGCTGAGTTCGTGTTTGGAGCTGGAAGGCTGGGTGAATGAACTCGTGGAAGAGTATCACTTTCCTTTAAAAAGGGAGGGGTGGGAAAAAATACACATAGGATGTGAGTCCTGGAAGAAAATCCCCATATTTGGACAAAAGTTTGGAATTGGCAGCAGTGAGCGATTTATGAGAACTCATGAAAAGTAAAAAAAACTTACTAAAGAGTACATTTGGGCTGTTCTGTTCTTTTTAAATTTGAGATGATCATTGTAAATCAGTTGCCTTATATTTCTCATATAGATAATATACTCTCTTCTTTGCTTTGGGCAACTTCTTTAAGCTTTCAGGAGTCTATAAATTATAGCAAATTGGTATTATTTCTATTTCATGATACATTGCTTCAAAAGTTATTCATGGCTGTTTTTAATTGAATTGTCCCATGTAAAGAGAAAAGCATAAAAGCCACTTGAATTATAGTTTCTATTGTCTATGGAATACACAAACAAGCTTCTATAGGAAAGCTAAACAGGTCAATTTTCTAGCTATTTATAGAGACCTAATTTTTTTTTTTTTTTTTTTTTTTTTTTGGTCATCCCATTGGGATAAGAAACAAAGGAAGTAGCAGTTATTCTTGGATCTCACATTTAGCAAATCCTCACATATTCTTTCTCTACATAGTATAATTAATAGCACCAAATCCGGGGTCAGGCAGAATGGATTCAAATTCTGGCTAAGTGACCTTGAACAAGTCATTTTACCTCTCTGTCACTGTTTCCTTATCTACAGTGGAAATAATTATGTTTCCTTCCTTGTGTATTGTTGTGGAGAGTGAATGATTTAATATGTGATACACTCAGTACAATCCCTAGCCCATGGTTGGCATGGTTTCGTGTATTAGCCATTATTATAATATTGAGCAAAAGATCAGAGATTGTAATCCTTAATGAAAATCCAGCCTGTGATAAGAGAGTCTCCGTGCTCAGGTAATTAGAAAAGTGTAGGTGAGGAAGTGAGTTCAAGAAAAATGAATCTGGTAGCATTCTATGAAAGGATTGATACAGAGAGACACTGGAGTCTCAGGGACCGGTTAGGATGCTATATTCCAGGCAAGAGGTAGAAATGTCCTGAACTACTGTCTTAGTCCATTCAGACTCTATAACAAAAGTACCATAGACTGGGTGGGTTATAAACAACAGAAATTTATTTCTCACTGTTCTGGAGGCTAGAAGTCCAAGATCTAGGCAAGTCTGGTGTCTGGTGAGACCCACTTCTGGGTTCATAGAAGGCCATTTTCTCTGTATTTGGTGGAAGGGAAGAGAGATCTCTTTGGAGGCCCTTTTAGAAGAACACTAACTCCATTTATGAGATAAGCTCCACCCTCGTGACCTATCACCTCTCAAAGGTCCCACCTCCTAATACACATTTAGGGTTAGGATTTCAGCATACAAATTGGAGGGGAAGGACGCAAATATTCACTCTATTGCAGTGACCACTGTGATGTTGATAGAAGAAGGAAATGATGTGTGAGAGGTTACAAGTGCACAAGGAGCTTCGGGGAAAAGAATAACTAACTGACTTTCAAACTGGGTCACTAGCATTATGAATGTAACAAACCCAGGATCGTTCTTTGGTTCCTCAACAGTTTCTATATTTTGAGAATTAAGGAATGCAAACTGTAAAAGACTAATAAAGATTAAAATGTGATCATATCGTATTATGTTGTTACTATATAATAAATAGCTAATCATCATCATGAAGAAGCATATGGATAAGAATAAGAGCTTTTAAAGAACTTTGCTCCACTTAAGAAAAATTAACCTATTGTTCTGATTCTTTCAAATCCCTACATTATATTGTGTCAGGACTAGAGGTTTGTTATTCTTCGATTCTCGTCTTCTATCCCAAGATTGTTGATGTAAGGATATGAGGAACACAGGCATAAACCTGTTGAGAATTAAACCATCACCTTCTGCATTTGATCCATCCTGCCGTATATCTAAAAATATATATATATAATTACTGAGAGTTGCAGATAATCTTAGTCTGTTATTTCATAAGAATTTTTATTATTTCCAGGTCCGATGGATGATGTACTGGATTGTGTTTGCTCTGTATACTGTGATTGAAACAGTAGCAGATCAAACAGTTGCTTGGTAAGTTCTAGCACTGAAAAGGGTCAGACTACAGACTCCTTATCAGGTGTCCCAAGTTCTTACCTACTCTTGCTGGTAACCAAGTGAATTGGATGAAGTTCCCTAATTATCCAGCGTTTCATTTTCATCTGGCTTCCGTGTAAGAACATTACTTTCCTTACAGTAACCCCCCCGTGATAAGGGCAGCTCATTCTTCTCCCCATGGGTTGCTCTTTGCCACATCCCACACAGGTCCCAGTATCTTGGAATAGAAAAACTTGGTTGTCATTATCCTTTTTCCACATGATGACTTCAGGCTATTTTTCTTTATCACTTCCTAAATGACTCCCCCTTTGAAGCCCACAGCATCTGGTTCTAGCACTCCCTCCCCATCCTTAAAACTCTCAACTACAAACATTCAGACCGGATGACGTCAGCATCCACGTGGACACCCACTCACCACCAGCTCTTTGGCTGCTCTGTTCCAAATAGCTGAGACAAAATTAAAGCATGTTTATATCCTCAAGGATTTAACATTTTACCAAGAAGTAATACCAAGTGAAACAACTTGAATCTCCTTGTGCCATATTTCACTGGTGTATTTCTGTCTAAACCTTATCATCACTTGAAGAGGTCCTCCTTTTAAAATCTTTAAAGCTAATACTTTGTGTCTTTACCTGGGCTCCCAAAGGCAGCCCCCCAGAGCATCAGTCAGGTGCCCATGTAGGTATCGGTTTGAACCTCCCCATTCCCTTTACTCACTACCTCCATGCCCTCCTGCCTCTGTTTCAAACATTTGCTGTTCTCTCCTTAAACTGTCTTCCTAGCTTTGCTCTTCTCATCATACTCTCATAGCACATTAGATCACGTTGGATTGCTAGAAAAAAATAGAGAAGTCACCGGGCTTAAATGTTCTTAACAAATTGCCCTCATTCATGAACTTTTCTGTGTCTGCACTCATCTTTCTCTTCTGATTTGAAACCCAAGTAGTTCTTCCTCTATCCCAAAGCTCATTCATTTACCTGTTCGGTGTTTGGGTAGAGTTTGGGGGGAGGGTTTTTATTTGGTTTTAAGGGGCAGAACAATTTCAAACCATGCTAGGTCTCTTAAGTTTTGAGGTTCTCTTTTTCAAGACCTCATTTTTTTTCCTAATTGCAGATGTAGCATGTATACATTAGTGGAAAGCGAGTGATGTAGAAAAAGTTTACCAGGAACAGTGGAAGTCCGGAAACTCCTCTGTAATTGCAGCAGGCAAAGACCCTTTGTTGACTACACAGCAGTCATTTCTTACTGCCCTGTACCCCTCTGCCTTGTCAGGAGAGCCCAGATTTGTTCTGATGTCACATATCTTAATAGTTCCTGGCCCAAGGATGCTAGTCCCCTACAATATATTAGTTCACTTTTGCTGTGGCAATTGACAACCCTTTTAACCATAGAGAGTTAGAAAAACAAACACATATTTCTTGCTCAAGTCATTTAAGGGCAGAAGGTTGGCTGCAGTGTTGCTGGGCTCAGCTCAGTTTTAAGTGTCTTCTTGTTTGAGGACCAAAGCTGAAGAAGCAGCTGTTCTCATGACAGACAGCAAAAATTCAAAGCAAGAGGTTGGGGGATGCCAGGGTGAGGAAGTCAAGGGGCATTTGAAGGTTTTGCATGCATGTGATATGTCAGACTGATGTGAAGTTGGCCAAAGCAAGTCATGTGCCAACCCCGCAGTCATTGCTGGAGGAAGTACACTCAGCCTACAGGGAGAGAGAGCACTGCAAAGTCACATGGAAAGGGGCATGCGTTGGTGGATAACACTAATTCCCAGTCTACCACATGGGAATTCCATTCCCCTTACAAGTGAAGGATTGTCTGCCCAGCATTGCAGTTCCAGCCAAATGAGATTGGAAGGGAAGTTCTCAGGGGCTTCTGAGAAAGAGAAGGAGATGTGTTCATGGCATAACTTTGTGCCCTTGGAGCATGTAAAACTGAGTCCTGGTGTGCAGAGAGATGTCAGGTACCGACCTGTGGAAGGGTTGGGTGTGCCCCCCACCGCCCTGGGTAGATGCTATTAATGTTCCCTCTGGACCACTACAGTATGTTGGCATCTTGCCTATGGTCTCTTCAACAGAAGAATCTTGTTCTAGAAGTTGCTGGTTCTCTGCAGGAGAATCTAACCCTCTTTGGTTAGAACTCATTTATAGTTAATGAAATTAAGTCAATTCAAATATAGTTCTTTCATTAATTGCTCACTTTTACATGTGAAGACTTAACTCAGTGATTGAACTTTCTTAAAATCTTGTGTGCGTTCATGAGTGTGTGCATACGTGATTTCCTCCTTGTAGTTTAGTTTCACCAGCAGTTGTTTTCAAATTTTTTCTTGTTAGGTTCCCCCTGTACTATGAGCTTAAGATTGCCTTTGTTGTGTGGCTGCTCTCTCCCTATACCAAAGGAGCAAGTTTAATATATAGAAAATTCCTTCATCCACTTCTGTCTTCCAAGGAAAGGGTAAGATATATAAATTATTTCTACAAATCGTTTGTTAGAAATGTACATCATGGCATGGTTTATGCTATAAAACAAGTGAAACTGTCATTTCATGGGCGGGGGAAGGTCCTCGTTTTTGGCTTCTTGACACTATTGTCACACCAAGTTTCTATCTGTGAGTCTGTTTGTTTCTCCCCAGGAGATCGATGATTATATTGTACAAGCCAAGGAGCGGGGCTATGAGACGGTGGTCAACTTCGGGCGACAAGGGTTGGCTTTTGCAGCCACTGCTGCTGTCACTGCAGCCGTGAAGGTAACTGTTTAGTTACATGTTTTATCCAGTGTCACATTAAAGCCAATGGACAAAGTCGGGTGGCTCTTTATTCCAGATCATTATAAAATTTTGGCAGAATTTTGCTTTCTGCTTATTTTTGTAATGCAGGAAAGAACAAGTGGATAATTTAAAAAACACTTTAATGCATGTTTTTTGTAACTACTCAGTATTTTGGAAGTCTTAATTGAACACAAAATGAGAGCTAGTTAATATAGAAAGACATACCTAAAGATGTCACTTTGTCATAATTTTCCTACTTTATAACCTAAAAGTAAGGTTGAGTAAATCACCTCTAGTAAAGATGACAATTCTTTCTTTCCCTGTCTCTGGTGTCCCCCTTTTTCTGTCTCTCTCTCCTCCCCCTCGATGGCAATATCTTGATAGGATTTCTGGCTTACTCCTGCACCCCTACTTCAACCAATTTGAGGTAACTGATTATTCAAAATAAGGCATGAAAAAATCTGTTCTTAAAATTTGAGATTTTACTCAGCTAGTTACTAATGTCATGTGTCATGTTTTGCAAGTGAAGTTATCAAATGTGCGCCTTCTGTGAAAACTCACATTATGGCGTTTGGATTTCTTTGCATGTAGTTTTTTATGTGATTTATTTTAAATATCGTAGCATAATTGATTTTGGTGTGTAGTATATGGAAAGAAAATGGGCTTCAGATCCAGAAAATGCTGAGTGTGACTTTCTAAATAACTGTTGGTGATTTACTTACCTCTGTGTTCACTGGTTGCTTCATGTATAAAATGGGGGTAACACACCTATCTGTGAGAGCATATACAGAAGCATAGTGCTTGCCAAAATATAGTAGGACTCCGCTAAACATTAATATCGTCTCTCCCTCTCTCTCCAGTGAAAATTTGGGTTTGTTGCTATTAAGTTAAATTGAGATTAAGTAATATTCCAACTTTTGAGTTAAGCTTTTTCAACTCGGTTATCTTGAACCAAAATACCAATGCTGTGGGAATAAATATTCTAATTAAGTGGTGATTCTATATAATAACAATGGTGAAGAGATGTCGAATGTTCAGTGGGGTTTCCAGAATGATCCTTAATTTTTCAGAGTGATCTTTAGCTCAAGTACAATTAATATGATCAAAAAAAGGAGTCAAAATTATACTCAAATCATATACCCAGAAGTGTTGCGTTAAGAATTATGTAGAAACTTACCAACTCTGCAGCCCTAGCCATATAAGACAACTGTATTATTAACGATTATTAACTGTCAGCACTGTGGTAAAGTACAGTTTGCCCATTACTTGGCTTTTAAAAGCTTTTTCTTTTATTAGTATAGATATAAACAGATACTGAAATAGTAAAATTTTCATCTTATTGAAGGACTGTTTTCCATTTTAAAAGTTCATTTGCTTTTTATTTCTTGCTTAATGGAAATACATGCTTGATTTCCACATGTACTGAAAAAGAGCATCCAAGAGATCTAATATGCAACAACTAGGAATTCTACAAGTGATCACAGATGCGATTATCAAAGAAATAATACAGTAATACTTCCCAAAACTGAAGGACATGAACCTCTAGATTGAAAAGGCCCACAGAGTACCTAGCACAATGTATGAAAAAAAAGGACCGACTGGGAGCAAGGTCACTGGAATATTCCAAAACACCAGAAAGAATGAAAAAAATTTTAAGGATTCCAGAGATAAAAAGTATGTCACATTCAGATGATCGAGAATCAGAATGGCAATTAAATTTCTAAATAGTGACAATGAAAGCTTGAAGACTGAAGAGTAATACCATCCATGATACCATAATGATTTTCACCCTTAAATTCTATAACAGTCAAGCTCTCAGTCATGTGTGAGCCTAAAAAATAAATCTCCTTCTTCTTTTTTTGTTTTTGAGGCATGCAAAGTCACAAAATTGACTTCGTGTGTGTTCTTTGTCAGGGTACTGTGCTCTGCCAAAATTAGGGACTAATCCATGGAAAAGGAGACCCACAGGATCTAGGAGACAGGGAGTCCAACACAGAAGGAAGGTGACAGGACTCCTTCCCAGGATAAACATGCAGAATGTGTGAGTCCAGGGTACAGCAGGCCAAGATGGGATGTGATGGGTTCGGGGTGCCAGGACAGGGGTCTCAGGGAAAAGTACGGGGAGAAGAGCATCTAATAGGTTTAATCCCCTGCAGGAATGATACTTAAACCGGTCAGCACATGCTCCAACCAGTCAATCAGAAGACACACTAGACACCATGAAAAATGCACTAGAGGCAATGTTAAGACCCAGGGCATAGGACGACTAATCAAATGAATACTTAAAAATGGGATATTGTTAGCTCTGGAAAAGAAAGTTATATAGGAAAGGAAATATAATAATGGAGTATGACTCGGCCCAGCAGCAAACAGCGTGCACGTCATAATCATGAGAATACAGACTGTAGATTGAACAGCTGTGATATTGTTTTATCAGAAAGGTGGGGGAAGGAGAGGAGGTGGAAGAGAAAGAAAACCCTCACCTGCCAGACAGGACGGTAGAGGGTTTAAAATGGTGCCAGCAAGAAGATGGACAGGAGAACAAGAAAGCCTATTGCTTTTGTTATAAAATTTAACTTTATTCGACTTCACAAATGAAGCGCCATTGACCCTTGAACAATCAAGGCTATCAACTTGTTGGATCCAATTATATGCCAGTTTTCTTCAGTAAATACAGTATAGTACTGTGTATATGTATTTTCTCTTCCTTAATAAGATTTTCTCAGTAACATTTTCTTTTCTCTAGCTTACTTTATTGTAAAAGGACAGTATATAATACATATAACCTACAAAGTACATGTTAATCAACTGTTGTCAGTGTGACTTACAGTCACCAGTAGACTATTCGTTAAATCTCAAGGGAGTCAAAACTTAGACACAGATTTTTTTACTGCCCAGTGAGTTGATGCCCGTAACCCCCACATTGTTCAAGGGTCAACTGGTACAGGTCTTAAAACCCCCCCCAGAAGATGCTTTCTGAATTTTACATATTTAAAAGCATCATTCATATGATTCTATGGCATAGCAACTAAAAATTAAATTGCAACTTGAAACACTGCTTAGAAAATATGGACTTTTTAGAACATTGTTCTGGGAAACAGAAAAACCTAGAAATCCCATTTTTCCTCCTCTCTTTAATATCTAAGTATCATTTCTAGTCCTGCAACTCTGTGAGACACCTTTCTACATACTGTGACCATTTCATGGGATATTTATTTTACTTGGACTTATGGGTATAACTCCCAAAGCCTCTATGTGGGGAATCAGAAATTCCCACTTTATTATCTTCTCATTGTCTCCTCATTTATTTGTATTTTATCCTTTGCTGTGATCGGTGTTTGGCATCCTGTGTATTTGTTCAACATGGGTTTGTTCCCTGCCTGCTATACAGCAGGTGCCGGGCGTGCAGCCGTAGGCAAGACAGACACAGACCCTCCTCTCACAGGCTGCTGTCTCGCCGAGGGTCTGTTTTCACTGACTGAAAATTTTATCTCATCTGCAGTGGCTAAGAGCTTTCCCCCTGCCCTCCCATTATTAAAATAAGCATTAGCTCACAGAAATGCTTTCCTTCAGAAAGGCTATACAAGCATTTCTTCTTTGTGATTCATTGTTTGTTTTTATCTATATATTTAGCATCATAAAACCACCTCCCCACTTCAAAGGCAGAAAATAGAGAACATAAGAATCATCTGAGTTACCACTGCAGATCAGACACATGTCCCATAATTTGAATTCATTTGGAACTTTCCCTTCTTGTTTGTGATGTGGCGGTTCTTTTGTTATCAAGATCACTGTGCGTGAGGTAGCTGTCTCCATCCCAGCATGAACACAGAGAATGTTGGCTTCAGCCATCCTGGCTTTTATTCATTAGAAATAGTCATTAAAAATGCTGAATGTAGCATTATGTTAAAACTGTTTGCCTCAAGTTGGACTGTGCCTATTTTCATGTAAGTGAAATTAGTTTCATCTCTGGAGATGTCAAAGAAAGGCACGATGATGGAAGAAATCACTGAACCAGACATTTCAGACTAAAGAGTAAATTGAAACTGAAATAGGAAATAGGTCAAGTTTAAGGAGAAACTTCAAGAAAGCCAATAGTAAGCCTTGAGAATTAATTTAAGATTTTTACAACCTATAGTTGGTTAAAAATATCTTTCAGGCTAAAAATGATTGGACTCTTGGTGTGACCTTTAAAGATGGGTAATTGCCCTACCTAGGGTTCCCAGGTTGAACCACCTGAGCATGTTAAAGATGAAAATAGGAATCTAATCAGAACATTTATGACACTGTAAAGCAATTTTCTGAAAATGTTACTCAGTTCTATGACCTCATTACCAGGCATCTGTTCGCAAGGTCAGTGTACAAGTTTATTTTGGCTGAGCAAAGCACACACATATGAAGGACCTTCAAGGACTTTGCTGAGGACATTCAACATTTAGCTTTCACATGAGAAATGCAGGTGGCTTTTTACAGATGAGCAACACGGATAAAGGACAGAAGAAGAAAAATACTGTTAGTCGTATTAACCGTCTCTGAATTTTCTCTGGCAGCCTTTTCTTGGTGAACTCTTTAGCAGATATTGTTTTAAAAAATCAATTATCACAGAAATTAGAGTCTTACAGGTAAAATGGCTAAAATCTAATAAACTATAAATGATGCTGATTAGGTCATACTCCTGACATCTTGCTGTCTGCTTTAAAGGCTTTCTGTTTGTAAGAGGATTTGAGGATATTCAGCTGCTTTGTATCATCCATTAAAAAAAAAAAAAAAAATAGCATTTGTCCTGACAACAGAAAGAAAGGTCACACTATTTTCCCTACAATCTAGGGAAGCAGAATGTTATAATGAATATTTAATTTACTAATAGTCTAGTTATCTGCATTTTCTAGCCCGATTCTACCCTAATTTAATTAGTCATGAGATTCTGGGCAGACCGTCTGCACTGATCTAAGTATTAATAGGTGAAACCTGACTTCTAA